AGGCGAAGGGTATATTGCCGTTGTGATCGAAAGAATATTATATGTTGATACCTCACGAGCGACACCCTTGTGTTGCAATTTTTTGTTTTTTGGGGGGGTGCTTAGCTTGGCTGATGAGCATGTTCGATTCCGGCCATCCTGCATGGAGCTTGCATGGTCTCCTCGTGCCCGCGCGGGTTTTCTGCGGGCACTCTGGTTTCATCCCACGTTCCAAAAACATTCACAGGAGGTTAATGGAACAATCTAAATTGATTCCCATGCTCTCAGGGAGAAATAAATCCAACAAAAAATGGCTTCTGTGCAGTTGCTGTTTTCCCAAATACCAAAGGACAATTCCGATTCCGCTAACTCGCACTTCATTTTGCCCTCGCGGTACTCTCCGAAATCCGTCATGCTGAAAAACCATCAGTGGTTCATCTGGAAACCAACTACATCCTGGAACAATGAGGGAAGCATCACACCGTCGGCAAGGTGTCCTCCATCCTCAGCCGATTTATCGCAGGGCAGCCTCGGCCGACACGGAGCGTTTACAGCTCAGGTGTCAGCCGTGGCTAACAGCTGCACACGTCGTTATTCAAGGTAAGCAAATTATGGGCAAGGAGCGCCAGAGGTGACGCTAAATGCCACGCTCCAAAACATGACTTGTGTGGAACGCGGCGTACAAGCAAAGCAATGCGAGGTGGACCCCGGCGTCTGCTCTGAACAAAGAGCAAAGAGGGCAAACGCCTTGGATTGTCAAAAGGACGTCCATTCTCAACTGCAGCAAAGTGATAAATGATCACAATGAACCCCCGAAATGGTTACATGACAAACATAATGAAAATGGGTGACGTAAAGAGCGCTCTGGAGGGGAGGAGGGGGCTGAAGAACATGAAAGTCAAAGCGCAAAAAGTGTTAGTTGTAATGAAAGTGACAATGGGGGGTGGGGGGGGGATAAGACAGAGCGATGTCCGTCGTCTGGGCTGCAATGAGCCGACAGCGGCGAGTGGAAAGCGGCAGAGAGGTCGGTATCCCTGGCCGAGCCTTATCTCATCTTCGCCCTGGAATAAAACCTATTTTCCAACCCCAAGACAATAAAGCACAAGGTTAAAGGCTCTCCCATCTGTGACACCCTTTTCGGAGAATGGCTTAGGTTCAACATAAAAATGCATCACAGCATCTCCACACTGGAGAGTGGTTGGGTGACGCCTCCTCTTAGCTTGCTTAAGTAACTAAGACCATGGAAATGTGTGATTGACCCTCTCGAACGGAATGTTCAATGCCACATGATTGGATTTTTTTAAGCACACATCGATACATATCGATGCATTGAACTGAAAGCCTGTTTGGAATTTCTGATGCGATGCATGTCCGGACCTCACACTGTAGCTTGGAGCACTTTCTTTCAACTTTTCTTTCTTTCTGTCCTGAATGGTTTTCATCCCGCATTTTGTTTTCGAAAGTAGCCAGAAGCTGTTTTGAGATAAAAGATTGAAAAAAATAAAATATCACGGTTCACTGGCCGTTGAGAACCAAATAAAAATAAAAAAAAAAAACAACTGCATTGCAACTTGCAGGTTGCAGTTTTACAATCGTTAACGTGGACTCTACAAGGTGATGAAAAACGACACTTCAATTACCATCGTGCCGACTATGGAATGATGAAATTGCTGGATTTCTCACCAGTGCAGAAAAAGGTGTTTTGTATTATTTCACCCAAGTATCACCTCAAGACATATTCAGTAACCGCAACCAGTCTGATGCAGACCATCGCTATCAACTTTGCTCTTTGATAAAGTGCTCCGGTTTGTGCCATATTTCTGATGGTCAATGACTTAAGAGCACTCTTAAGTCATTGACTGTATCGGTAAAATTCGACAATGTTCTTTTATTGACAGCACTCGAGTGCACATGTTGCTGACTCATTCTGAGCCAAACACAATCACAGCGGTGTTATAAAAGAAGACTGCAAAATGAGCGACGACAAAGATATTAGGCAGGAAACTGGAAGCAGGCAAGGGAGTTTCATTTATTCAAAGTTCTTGCGTATATCGAGCAAAAAGTGGAACGGCTCAATTTGCTAAATGTGTTCTGACTCACTTCTGGCTAAAATCCGCACGAATTTAAGCGACAATTGTTCCTTTTGTCGCCTCACGTCCCCGTTCAGAGCGAGGTCGAGCATTTATAGGCGAACTGCCTTCGAAAAAGCTCACTTTATTTGTCAGAGTATATTTATGGCACATATTAGCTGCCGAAGACTCTCAAAGCTTGTGGATACGCGTCACATTGTGATAGGCGGATAATTCCAGCTTCCCGAAGCACAGCTCTTGTTCAAAACGAGGGGCTCGGCCATTCTCGCTGTTCACCGAACATTGAATGTATTGGGTCACCCTCTGTGAGATGACATTAGTCGGTGCATGGAATCAATCACTGCCGTGTTCTTGCATAATGTGCATCATAAGCCCGATCACCGAAGAGCAAAAGCAGCCCCAACCTTTTAACGATGATATCGTCACCACTCAGGCTCTGTTAGAGTGACACGCCAAGCCTTTCTAGAAACATGCTTATTAACACTATAAATCGTTTGACAAACGGACCAGAACACAGTGACTTCGAGACAGAAGCCGAGAGAAGATGGCGACCTTCTCGAGGGGGTCATGCAGCCGTCATCCAAAGTGGCAATGAAGACGGGACTTTGTCAACAACACAGCAGAAAGTGGCTGGCTCCATGTCACCGGCTCTAATGAGGGTGACAGTAGCGGTGCCGGTGTCCACGATTGGGGTGAACGGTGTAACCCGAAGATTGGGTGATGGTGAGGAAGACAGCGGAGAAGAAAGAAATGAGTTGGTCTCCGCTCGGACAGTCATGCTATCGTGTGGAGGTTTGACATGTGAGCTCACAAATGAAAAACAAATGGGAGACATTTAATGTGACTCCTCAGCAATGATGACGGCTTTTGCGTAAACGCAAACAACAGTGCAAGCAGACACGTTAGCCCGAGCGTCCAGAATCCATTCACAAATTGTGATGGAACTCGCTCGGCGCTGCCTCCCCGTCTTCGTAAAGCTATGGTGACATGATGCCTCATACTCAGTATTGGGACAGAAAACCCAACAAACTGTTTTGATCAAGCGCATTATGTTTAAGATGTACTGATAAATGTATTCTTTGAAGTCATGACGGTGTCATATTTAAAGTCTGGAATTTGTGGATACCTGCAGTAAGATCAGGTGAAAATATTTTTTTTTTCTAACAGCATCCAGTAAACAGATAATGTCATTTTTTCATATTTCAGGTTTTTTTTTTTTTTTGGTCTTGGCATTGCTTTTCCCTCAAGCTGTGAAACGAATCATGGCCAAAAATGGAACATTAGCGGCCTCTAGAGGCCATTAGTCGGTATATTTATTTTGCAGATGGATTTCTTTCTGACTTCGAAATGCAAAATCCGATCAAGTATTATGCAGCAATCAGGCACAGTAAAAATGTGGCAAATCTCGCTTTGTGACTCGGCTGGCAAAGTTGTCACACCTTAAATGCAATTTGAACCACTCTGCGTTGCACCGCACTTTCCCATCTTTGTATCAGCAAACACGACTGCAGTTGTTCATGACTTTATTGACTTGCATATACTTTCAAAAGGTATCCTGTCATTGTTTTTCACTTCTTTGTATTGGTGGGACTGTTGGCTGTTGAGGTGGGCGCGTCTGTAGTTCAAGCGACACCACAAAGGAACGAAATCCAAACGATGCTGGAAAGGTTGGCGGCAATGAGAATTATCCTGAGGGCATTGTCGAGGCAAATAAAGAAAATTTTACGTGGGCTTTGCAAGGTTTTGTTGACGTGACATCTTCTCCCAGGCGGCAACTTATGCAAGCAAATCAAATATGAACATACTGATGATGTTGTTCTTAAAGGTGATTTAATTGTTCATTTGAAAAGTCCTACGCACCTCTGGATAGTTTTCGCAAACTTCGGTGCAGTTCAAGTATAACTTCTAATTTTATTGTACGTGATAAAGTGGTATGCCTTGGAGGAAAGATTTTATTCCTTCCCGGGGCCAAACTGACCCACCTCTCAGTTTATGATAATAGACTTTGAAGTGTACTTTCAGCAGTGGCATTTACAGTCAAATGCATTTTTATTTCTTCACATTTCTTTTCCGGTGATACATTGAAAATGGATGTATGTAATTCAACATAAAATTTTTACTAGTGGAAGAAAATTGGGTACATTTATGAAACACAGTATTTTAGACAAGAATAATTTGCTCGGATTATTTTCCCTATTAAAACGCGTGATCCTGAAGCGTTTTGTTGCTATGCAATGATGCTAACGCTGTATGGAGGTTCATAACTTCAAAATTATTATGGTTACATTATAAGGCATATTTATTCTTCCTGATTGGTCTATTTCATATTATTCTACATTTTTTTGTACTCTTGAATAAAAGTATTTGAAAGGAATGAAAAAAAATGTTCATAAAACAGTTATTCTCTAATTATCTTTATTGTCAGTACTGTACCAGTGCATTAAAAGTGGCAATTTAAAAGCAATGAAAAACAAAAGGCTGCGCTTATCCCAACTGGTCTGTGACAAAAAATAATAATAATAAAAAAAAGAAACAAAAAAAAACACAACAAGCAGCATGTGATATTGATGTATTTTTGTGACTGAACACTACTCTGTGTCAAATATGAAATAACATAATATTTGAATGTCAAGAAAACAGTGTCAGGCACTTTATCATATCCCACAAAAATGAATTCCAGTATGATGCATGAGTGGGAGGAGCAAACATTCCGAACATTAAGCTGACTTGTTTCATTGCTGATCCATATTTTGGCCCATGTGCCCTCTGGTCCATTTAAAGGTGAAGTAGGACTTCCCTGAACTCGATCTACTGCACATCTATGTAAATCCTCTCGAGTCAAGTAAGTTTACATGGCGGTTGAAGCTCCACCCATGACATCATTGGCCAGCTGGAGTCAAGCCTCTGATAGCAACCTGAAGCCTGTCATCTCATTTGCCAGGCTTCCCCGTCAAGGTAAGGACCATGTTTACACTGCGGAACAAATCTTTTGTCTCGAAAGGTCCTTGTTGCTTCTAGAAATGTAATTTACGTCATCTCTTTCGTGTCTGTTTGGTGGGATAAAATACTTGATGCCACATTCAGAATCATGAACAACAACAAAAAAAAAGGTTAGTTTTTTTTTTCTCGAGTTCTTGAACATGATGCATGCAAATCCTCGTTTGTATGTGGCAAAAGACTGCGGTTGAAGGTATGCTGTGTATTTCACGAAATAAATTCTCATTCAGATGTGGTGAATAAAATTAGGTTCTTTGGTTAATTGTTTCTTTAAAAAAAAAACAATCTCTTAATACATTAGAATGAATCAATCAACGATTTGGAAAATATATATATACATAATTTCTTTGGGTGGCATATTTTGTCCGAGTCCAAGTCCAAAAAAAAAAAAAGGCTGGCAATGTAGACAGGAGACCGCACCTTGTTATCCCGGTGACGAGAAAAGCAAGTTGCTCGACCAGCTCGACAGGTCACTGAACAATTAATGTGTGGTGTGCGTACTCTCATTTTACGTAATAGAATATAAACGCCAGATTAGAATTTTCCTCCTCAGCTATTTGTGCATTGCTGAATAAATTCACTGTGTAAAAAGTCAGAAAACTTGAACGTCATTTTAAACGCATGGCACGCCGTCGTTTTTCATTTGACTTGATTAGCTGAAAGGAAAACCCTGGCAACTACTTTTCTCGTTTCTTTCGCTTTTGCTCTGTGGTGCTTTCCGTTTGTTTTGTCGTGCCTCACCTGCCTTTGGAATTTCGTCTTGCCACCCCTTCAACACTTTTACTTTTTATTTCAGCCAGAACTCCCAGTGCCCACCCGACTTCTTTTTTTTTTTTTTTCCTCCCACTCAGGGCTAGCTCCGAGAAAACTTCCCTGAGCTGATCTGACGTCTGCTGACGAAGGCGGCAGCCATGAACTGGTCGGCATTGGAGGTCCTCCTGAGCGGGGTCAACAAATACTCCACGGCGTTCGGCCAGGTCTGGCTCTCGGTGGTCTTCGTCTTCCGGGTGCTGGTGTTCGTGGTGGCGGCCCAGCGAGTGTGGGGCGACGAGAGCAAGGACTTTGTGTGCAACACCGCCCAGCCCGGCTGCACCAACGTTTGCTACGATTCCGTCTTCCCCATCTCTCACATCCGCCTGTGGGCCCTGCAGCTCATCTTCGTCACTTGTCCTTCCTTATTGGTGTCGTGTCACGTAAAATATCGCGAGAAGAAAGACCTGGCGTACTCCACCTCGCACAAGGGAGCTCATCTGTACGCCAACCCCGGGAAGAAACGCGGCGGTCTTTGGTGGACCTACTTGGTAAGGATGGGCGACGGAGCCGTTTCATTTCAAGATTGTGAAAACCGATGGCGCAAAATGTGTCTCTTTATCTTCTATTAGGTGAGCCTGATTTTCAAGGCGTGCTTTGACGCCGGCTTCCTGTACATCCTCCACCATATTTATCACGGATTCGACCTGCCCCGAGTTTCCAAGTGTTCCCTGGAGCCTTGCCCCAACACAGTGGACTGCTTCATTTCCCGGCCTACCGAGAAAAAAATCTTCACCCTCTTCATGGTGGTCTCCTCAGTGGTCTGCATTATCATGTGCATCTGCGAGATGATCTACTTCATCTGCAAGCGCATCCTGAAACACAAAAGGAAGACCAATCAGATGATGAGGAAAGCATTCGCCGACAATCACGAAATGAGACCGCTGGCGGCACCCAGGTCAGAATTCAGGTCCAAAACTTCGATCCGAGTCGATCCCACCAACTCCATCCAGAATCTCAACAACATGCCGGCTGAGGAGAGAGACAAAGAACTCCGAAATGAGTCGCCGCGCGAAAACGGCAAGGTGGACAACATTTAAGGAGCTCAGAGAATCTCTGAGAGACACTTCATGACAGCTCTTCCCAAGCCTAAAGACATTCATCAATTCGCTGATGACTTGTAAATACCTGTAATGACTTTCTGCCTTTAGGCATCGTCTGTGCATGTAAGTACATAACACAAGCGGCATGAGATGTTGACCGTACACATATTTATGCATCGCTCCTCCTACTTATAGTAAGTACAACATACCAATGACTCCACTGTTTAAGGGCTTTATTGTTATTACTATTACTATTACTTTTACCATTATTTATTATTATACGTATAAAAAAAAAAAAAATCCTCATCTCACCCCTCGGGTGGTGTCCATCCCTCATTCAGCTCGGGTCCTCTACCAGA